TATATTTGTGTAGGGGGAGGGAGTTTGAAAAAGATTTTAAAAAAATTATCTTATGTGGAACGCTAGCTCAAAAGGAATGGCTGTGTCAAGATATACATTGTGTGTGTGTGTGTGTGTCACAGGAGAAACAAACCGGCCCATTAAAAATGTTGATGAATAATTATACTTTGGCTAATATAACTGGTACTTATTTTTTACAGAGTAGATTTTCTGTAAAGAAAGAAAAATTACTACTGTTGGTCTGTACTGAGAAATAAGAACTGTACTAAATCACTATTTTTATGGAAGTTTCTGTCCTTATATTTATACAAGAAATTTTAAGTAGCCATTTTACTTTCTTCCCAAATTCTTTGGCAGCATTACATTGCAGGATAAAGGAAAGTTAGAAGTCACAGAGTTACCTAATTGAGTTAATATGTAAGGATCGAAAGTTGACTAGACTCACATAATCTCCCTTTATTTATTTCATTCAGGAAGTAGAATAACTTCACCCACAAAAAATAAAAGGGAAGTATCACACTTCCATCAAAAGGCTGGTTTTTGGTGGCCAGACATTTTGGGCCATGGGATCACAGCCCTAATCTGGGCACAGTGGTTGTGGCTCCCACACAGGCTGGTGACACCTTTGCTCCAGCATCCACTGATCCCCTTCTCTAAAGAGGGACACACAGACGGCATCTTTATTTACTCTCCAGCCATGAAAAGGGGATCAAGTAAATGCTGCATTTCTTTTCAACTCTCAGAACTGGGAACGTGTCTAAGCCTAAAGCGTGTTGTCCCCAGAGCCTATTCAGCTGACCTCTCCTCCTTAGGTTGGCTGTGAAGGTTGTGAGATTTCAAATCACTATTCTGCACATCCTGTGCAATGACAAAGGGGTATGATGACGCCTGCTGTGCTGCCCTGGCCCACTGTCAGGCTCCACTCCTCAAACACCTCTCATGGTCTGGGTTATGAAGACTTCCAGCAGCAATTTGCATAATTGCTAGCATTTCGGGTAAGGGAACTTAAAAAAAAATTTCAAATTCCCCTCTCTCCTAAAAAAAGGACTATTCTTAGCAGTATTACGAAGCACTTTCTGTAAATAATTTGTGAATTGTGTGTCAAAGTTTAACAGTGAAGTTCTTCATCATTTTAGAGCTAAAGTGGTTCTGTCTCTATTATTGGCTTTGTTTTGATTATATGCTATTTATCTTGCAAGTGATGTCACTCTACTTAACGGAATTAAGGTGTAAACACATGAAATGAAAAAAGTATAATTGCCATCTAATGTGGAAGAATATTGCCATTACGAACCATGGCGCCTGTAGACTGGCGGTCTGGAGTTGAGCTGATCTTAACCACTTTCTATTTCCTGAGTTCTGAATCCAGCAGTCTTTTCACTGGTTCTTTGAATTATTTATTGCCCAAGCTGCCATCTGTAGGTAAGTTGATTGACCCAATTTAACCAGCAATTAATCTCTACCACCTGTGCCTGCTGCCTGCTACCTGAGGAGATGCTGGGGGGAAGAGAGCACACCCCTGCCTGGAGGAGCAGCTATCCCGAAGCAGTGCCCCCAGAGTGTGAGCCGTAGATCAGAGCCTGCCCGCACACCCTTCTTACCCAGTCCACGTGAAAGAGGTAGAGCAACTGAGAGTAAATGTTCAAGAAAGATTATAGCAATTTAACAGAGTAATTTTACGTGTGTTGGTTTCATTCTGCTAGTAATTTATTTTTATTGTATTTTAAAAAAATATTGGTCTGAGACAGACGGGAAATTAAAAAAACATTGGTTCTATACCACTGACAGTTTGAGAAGCACCTGTTAAAGGTATAAGTCAGACATGTAAACAGATAGCTACAGATAATCAAAAGGTCCAATCAAAAACTATGATTAACTGACAACTAGGTTTCCCATCACCAAATTAATCTCTGATTTAGATATTTTCTTATGTAATATCATGATAAATGGTTTGACCTTTTACTTTCATTATTTTTAATTGGGATATAATTCACATACAGTAAAATCCACTCCTTTAAAACGTACAATTTAATAGTTTTTAGTATATTCACAAGATTGTGCACTCCTCACTACTATCTAATTCCAGAACTTTTTCATTTCCCTAAAAAGAAACCCTGAACCCATAAGCAGTCACCCCTCATTTCCTCATCCTCCCATGCCCTTGGCAAATGCTAATCTACCCTCTGTATGAATTTGCCTATCCTGGACATTTCTTATAAATAGAATCCTACAATACATGACCTTTTGTGTCAGGCTTCTTTCACTTAGCATAATATTTTCAAGGTTCATCCATGTTTTGGCAAGTATCAGAAGTTTATTGCTCTTTATGGCTGAATACTATTCCAATGTTTCAATAATATTCCATTCATCCATGATTGATATTTGAGTTGTTTCCATTTTTTGGCTGTTTTGAATAATGCTGCTATGATCATTCATGTACAAGTTTTTCTGAGAACATTTGTTTTCAATTCTCTTGAGTTTATGCCTAGAAGTAGAATTGCTGGGTCATATGACAACTATGTTTAACTTTTTGAGGGACTGCCAAATGTTTTCCAAAGTGGCTGCATTGTTCTTCTTTCCCACCAGCAACATATGCAGGTTTCAGTTTCTCCACATCCTTGCCATCGCTTAGTGTTCATCTTTTAATTATAGCCATCCAAGTGAATGTGAAGTGGTATCTCACTGTAGTTTTGATTTGCATTTCTCTAATAACTAATACGTTGCATGTGTTTTCGTGAGCTTATTGGCCATTTGTATATCTTTTTGGATAAATATATATTCGAATCCTTTGCCCATTTTTAATCAAGTTTTTTGTTTTTTATTGTTGAATCACCAGAGTTCTTTATATATTCTGGATTCTAGACTCTTATCAGCTACATGATTTGCAAATATTTTTTCCTATGCTATGGGTTGTCTTTTCATGTTTTGGACAGTATCTTTAAAGCACAAATGTTTTTAATTTTCATGAATTCAAATTAATCTATTTTTTCTTTCATTACTTGTGCTCTAGGAGTTAAATCTAAGAAACAATTATCTAATCACAGGTCACAAAGATTTGCACCTACTTTTTAAAAAGTTTTTTATAATCTTAGCTCTAACATTTAGGTCTTTGATCCATTTGAAGTTAGTTTTCGTATGTGGTGTGAGGTATGTGGTCCAACTTCATTCTTTTGCATGTGGATAACCAGTTCTCACAGCATGATTGGTTGAAAAGTCTATTCTTTCCTCATTGAATTGTCTTGGCACTTTTGTGGTAAATTAGTTGCCCATATATGTATGAGTTTATTTTTGGACTTTTCTGTCTATTCCATTGATTTCTATGTACACTCTTATGCCAGTCCTGCACAGATTTGATTACTGTAGCCTTGTAGTAAGTTTTGAAATTGGGAAGTGTAGTCATGCAAGTTTGTTCCGCATTTTCATGACTGTTTTGGCAATTCTGTGTTCCTTGCATTTACATATAAATTTTGAGATCAGCTTCTTAATTTCTTTCTTTAAAAAAAAGCCAACTGGGATTTTGATATCATTTCACTGAATCTCTAGATCAATTTGGAGAGAAGTGACATTTTAAATATATTAAGCCCTCTGGCCCATAGACATGGGATATTCTATCATTTATTCAGGTCTTCTTTAATTTCTTTCAATGGTGTTTTGTAGTTTTTAGTACACAAGTCTTGTCCTTTTATTTAATTTATTCCTAGGAATTTTATTTATTTTGATGATATTTTAAATAGGATTGCTTTTTAAATTTTATTTTCAGATTGTTCATTGCTAATGTATGGAAAAGCAATTAGTTTTGTATGTTGATCTTGTATCCTGTAACCTTGTTGAACTCATTTATTATCTCTAATGGTTTGTATGTGTGTATGTGTGTGTGTGTTTTCCTTAGGATTTTCTGTATGCAAGATCATGTCATCTGTGAATAGAGAAAGTTTTACTTCTTCCTTTCCAATATGGATGTCTTTAATTCTTTTTCTTGCTTACTTGCCTTTGCTAGAACCTCCAGCACACTATTGAATGGAAGCAGTGAGAGCAGACATCCTTGTTTTATTATTAGTCTTGGTGGTGACCCTCTGTTTTATATACACATATAATGTGGGCTGTATCTGCACTGCATTTTCAACCCCATCACTTCTGTGAGGGTTAACTTTCTCATTTTTCAATCTATTCATAATCTTAACACTTTAAGATTGTAAAGAGTAATACTTCATTTTGTGTAAAATGTTGATAAACCTAAGCAGGATAATAAATATTACAATATACTTAATAACTCTTAAAAATCCGAGAGATAACGTATAGAATGTTAGACTAAAGAGCTAGTTTTCTTGTAATTTATCAATGCCTGTAAGTTTTATTATAGTCCCTTTAATGAATCATTATGATGTAAACACACCATAGGACACATTTTAGAAGTGAAGGGGGAAGGAAGAAAAAGGTAGCCCTTGGTTGTTTAGGACCTGCTTAGTCAGTAGGTATAATTTAGAAACAGAATTTCTAGGTTAGGAATGATAAATCCACAAAACTCAACCATCAGCTGATGCTTGCATTGCCTCTACACTCAGCTTTTCTAAGTACCTGTGTGATCTGTGGTTCAATCCCACCAGTGAGAAGAAACTCTCTGTCATACGAGGCCACCCATTCCACTTTGAACACTTCAGAACACTTTTTGTTTCAATATCCTAAACTTCTTTTCTCGTTAAAATCTCTACAGAGAGCGGTAAACCAAGGGAAATGAGACAAGATTATTATTACTATTGTTATTAGCAGGAGTACGGTTGGTTAGAAAGTTAAAATTAATTGCTCATATGTGATTTAAGAATAATAATTTCTTTTTATTTAGAAAATGAAATCTGATGGAAAGTCAAATATTAAAAATAATCTGAATGGTAAATATCTCTTTAAATTTATGGTCAATTTTTTGACTACTAGATCCTAGTGATCTTAGCATCATGTGTATTAAAAGAGAAATCCACAATTAAAGAATATTTATTGAGGTCCTTTGTTGTAGGTGCTGCAGATGGTGAAAGAACTTGAGACTCCACCTTTCAAGAAGCTTACAATCTCCTTGAAAAGGTAAAATAAAAAATATATAAAAAATCAAAAAAATGAGGGCACTGACAATATGGGCAGGGAAGGGTTAAACAGAATAACACTTAAGGCTTCTCAGAAAGGAGAGGTACAGAGTAGGTCTGTGGATGTGTTATGGAGGTTGGAGGACTTGGGAACTGATGGAGGTCATGGACTGTACTGAGGAGGTTGGAGGACTTGGGAACTGATGGAGGTCATGGACTGTATTGAGGAGGTTGGAGGACATGGGAACTAAGCTGGGCCTTGAAGGATGGTGTGACTCAGAGAACTGTTAAGTTGAGGATGAGGAGCCCATTTCAGGCTGAAGGTAAGGGTCAGAGAATCTGAGCACAGCCACAGAGGCAGGAAAGAAGAGTGCCTGGAGACAAGTCTGGTCTGCAGGAGATGAGGTTGACAAGGTAAAAAGGGGCCAGATGGTGGAAGTCCAGGATACGGAATGCAGGTTTTTGTCCTGCAAAGTTTTACCAGTTAAAGAACGAGTTTGAATAAGGAAGTGCTGTGGTGCAGAATCTCTAAACACCCAGAACAACGCAAGAGACTGCAGAATGTAGACTTTGTGGTTATTGCAGAACTTCAGAATTGAAATGAAAAATCTGACCTCCGTTGACAATGGTGGGAATGGAAAAGTAGGGACGGATGTTAAGGAAATTATACAAGAATCAAAAGAACTTAGTAACTTGACTAAGAGGCAAGGGACAGGTAACTCTCTAACTTTTTGATGATGATCATTATAAGAAATATATTTATATATTTCATATATAAGTCCATATATAGGTTAACCTGTATAACAGAAATGAAAATTCTAAGAAACAATATTTGCTTTTACTCTAAGTGATTCTTGCCTTGATATTTCTATTTCCTTCTTTTCTATTTTTATTAAAAAATAAACTGCTGTTAATCCACTAAGTGGGTTGTTATCCCAATCTGATCACTATATCCTAAGGGGGATGCTTTAAAGAACTCCAGAAAAGTTTCTTTCCCCAGGACCTCTGAGTGATGCTGCCTTTCCAGCATTGGGAATTTTGAGAGTTTGGTTTTCTGTTAAAGCAAAAATGTTTGTAAAAAGGCCTAACTTTGCCAATCTTACACGCTAGCGTGAACGATTTATTAATTTTTCTGGAAAGCAAGTTGTGTTAGAGGGGAGAGTAGAGAAAATGTGTGCCTGAGAGGGACCAAAGACGAGAGAGATTCTGAGAGAGAAATGTCACCGCTGCCATTTTACTCAGAGGACACTATAATGAGGACAAAATAAAATTAATATTTACTGCTGAGGCAAGACCTCAGCAGTTCATTCTCTGAAGGAGAAAGAATCTGGGAAGGGGGTTAAACCAGAACTGGCAAACAAGACAGTAATGCATCATTTCTTAACTCTGCAGATAAGGTATTAACCATACAGCTGCAAGATGGAAGACAGGTAAGGAAATGGGTCAGAACTTTCAGACTAGGAAAGGAGGGCGCATGTAGGGTTTATTTTTTTAACCAGGATGTGTCAACGGGCTGTAATAAAAGTGACTCTGTCCTCAGGATTAGGCAAGTTGTCTAGTCTGGGTTCTCTATCTTTTGTTGCCAAGACTCAACCTGACTAGTGTAATCTGTCCAAACAAATCAACACACCAAGAATTAGGAAAACTGGTTCAAAAGTCATCGAGGGTACTGTCAGGAGGACAGAAGAGTCAGGCGGTGGGTGTTCTCCTATAGATTGAAAAAAAATCAGTTTGGAAAAGGGCTTCTGGCGCATGCCTCAGTTTGTGCGTGTGGAGAAGGACGCTTTCAGCTTGCTGCGAGAGTGCCAGGTGGCCAGCTTGCGTTTTGCTGTGTGATATGGTCTGCACCTCGATGATTTTGTCTGAGCTGAGTGGTCGCTTACTAACGCTGCAGGGTTATTTTGCACCAGGCCACTTTGTGAGTATGTAGAATGTGGCAACTTCACCCTTAAACCTGAGGTCTTAATTTAGCACAAACAGCAGTCAGCGAGTGAAGTCAAATAATTTAGATAGAGCACAATGGATGCATTAAATTTTTATCATAACCCTGACTTCTGTTATCAGGAGTCTAAGACTACTTTTCTCTAGTGGGACCAATACCCTCAGAAGAAGGATCAATTTTCTCATATTTGATAGAGGGATTACACATTATTTGCAACTCGATCCTCAAAATTTGTACTTAACACTTTCCCTTTAATTTGGCGTAAATTCTGTGGAACTGGAATAACGAGATGAGTTCACCCATTTTCTCTTTGTCAGTTTACAGAGTAGTCAGATAAAAGGATATGGCCACACTGCTTTATTCCCAGAATAACAATCACTCGGGTGCTCAACACACAGTTCAAAGTCTTTATTTCTAATCTCTGGTGTGAGTGTGAAAGGAAGATTGTGGACCTGTCCTTACCTGCCTGAAATTGAAGAGGAAGGGAAGGGAGTGTGTAATCCTCTCCCACCTTCGGTGACTGCTATTAAAGCCTTGCATTATTCCAGGAGTCCCCACTTGCCCGACACTGGTAGCAAGAGAATTTAGTTGGATGGTGGGCTCAGGAATCTCCCTGAATGTTGTCTTTTACTATTTCCAATAATCATGTAAAATAACCTGCAGCTAACAGATAGGTGTGACCCCGGCCCCTCAATGCAAATGCCCCTCACCTCTCTGCTTCCTCTCGGAGATAGAGGTACAGTCTATTTAAGCCTCCTGGTGCAATGCTGTTGACCTAGGGCAGAGAGGAGAGCCTGCAGAAGAAGCAGTGGACCACGGTACTGGTTCTGGAAGTTCTGAGCCCCTTCTGGCTGAGGAGCAGGGAGTACCTATTTGAGATCTTTGGTGAGTAACGACGCCTGCCTCCTCTGGCAGTGCTCCATCACTGCTTCATTGATTCTGCAGTGAACCATACTCTAAAGATTTTACCCGGGGATCTTGTCTGTGAACGTACACTTCTAGTTCTCTTTCACAGGAACAGGTGTGAGAACTGCAAGGTCATAAACAATCAAATGACTGACCACTATGGCAGACTAATCACCGCCTACATGAAGTTAGCCTTTGCACATTTGATATGATTTCACAATGATGGTAAGTGACAAAGAACAGCGTGGAACATGCCGCCAGCCAACTGCTCAAGAATGGCTGACTTCAGTAGTTGACTCTTCATTCTCTGAAAGTCTAGGCTAGAGTCCTGGTTTTTGTAGCACATTCCTCTCCTTTCCTCAGTTATAGTTGGGTAAAACACTGTACGGTGTACCGGTGATTCCCAATTCACGTGGTACAGATGTGCACAAGGACGTGGTGAAATGAGCGAAGCCACAAAGTGGAGCAGGTTTTTCATAAGGCCAAGTTTATCATATTTAACAGAATTACTTTAAGATTATGCTTTTACAATTTAGGTGATAAAATGCCCTTCCTTTTTAAGGAATACTACGGAGAGAGTGAGTGTGGGTGTATGTGCATGTATGTGCACACACGTATGTATTTAATGTGCTTACTTGGCACAAGAAAAGTGGAAAACTTTTTATCTCTTCCTGATTCTTTTTGGGAAATTTTACTGGTCCCTGATGTTCCAAGATATGGGAGCCACTGTTCTGTACAGTGTTTCTTACACTGAAAGGTCAAAAAGATAGAGTTCATCTTAGCCTATTTCTTAAAAAAAAAATAAGTAGATTTATTTTGGAGCAGAAAAATGAGTGGAAAGTGCAAAGCGTTTCCATAAGCCTCCTCCCATTCCCCCCTTTCCCCTATCATTAACACCTTCATTAATGTGGTACATTTGTTACAATTGATGAGCCAACATTGATACATTACTATTGGCTGAAGTCAATAGTTTACATTAGGGTTCACTATTTGTGTTGCATAATCTATGGGTTTTGACAATGTATAATGATAGATATCCATTGTTACAGTGTCACACAGTATAGTTTCATTGCCCTAAAACTCTTCTGTGCTCTGCCTGTTCATCCTTCCCTCTACCAGAACCCCTGGCAACCACTGATCTTTTTATTGTCTCCATAGTTTTATCCTTTTCACATATCGTATATTTGGGATCATATAATATGTAGGCTCTTCAGATTGGCTTCTTTCACTTATCAATGTGTATTTAAGCTTCCTCCATATCTTTTGTGACTTGACAGCTCATTTCTTTTTGTCACTGAATGATATTCCATTGTCTGGATGTACCACAGTTTGTTTATCCATTTACCTTTTGAAGGACATCTTGGGTGCCTCCAACTTTTGGCAATTATGAACAAAGTTTTATATTAGCCTATTTTTTCGCATTTAAAATACACAATGTAGTAGTCTTCTGCTACTGTTAAAAGAATATTCATTAAGAATGCACAAGAAATATAAAAAAGAAAATAAATATTATTTGTAATCTCATTCCAAAGATAACACTAGTAACTGTTAGTGTATACCTATATTCCTTTTTTCCTCCTAAATCAATATCTAGCTATATCTGGAAGCTACATCTTTTCCACGTATGCTTTAGTGAATTTTTTCATAAACTTGTGAATCACAAAGATGCATAGTTATATTGAATACATGTGTGTATATATATATATATATATATCCTATATATAACATATATAGTTTTACATCCTAGTCTTTTCCCTGCTTATCATTGTGTACATATTTTCAAATCTTTAAATTTTATTCTTTGAGAAGATGATAGTTAATAACTACACAGTGACTCACTGGATAAGTGTTTTTTAAAAATGAACTATATGTGTTATTTCATTCTACTCCAACTAAAAGGTGAACTCGAAGAAGGCAAGGCTTTTCATCTGTTTTGTTCATTGATGACCCTTCAGTACATAGAAGAGTGCCTGGCAGCCACATAACGGGCACTTCAAAAGCATTTGTTGAATGCTTTTTGAAATTTGTATGACTTCATTAGCTACTCCTTAGAGTCAACCTAGAAATTTCTTAAGGTAAAAGTTATTGCCTGCTAAATTGAGCGTCAAATAATTATGCAGTGTCAAATATGGTATTTTTAAGGAATTGACTACTGTAGTGGCTTTCTCATATAGTTAGTGGTGACAATATTTCTACAACTTAGGGTTTTTCGGTGATGGGGCAGTATGGTTCCAGCTCTGCCCCTTCTCTTGAGAACAATGGCACACTGCTGCTAAGAGGCTGGTGAGGATTAAAGCTTTGTCTTAAGTGGAGCAACACTATCTGGATTATACTGGAAACACTCCTACTTGGCGGCAGTGATGTCCTGATGATAGTCCTGGCTAGAAAGTGCTTCCCGAGGCTTCTTGGACGGGAACCACTTACCCAGAGCAATTGGTGAGGCTTTTCAAGGCTACGCCTCCACATATTCTCTGTAGATTGCCTGGGAAACCAACTTCTCCACCTTAGCTCACCCGAAATTCCCACTTATGCACTCAAGTGCTGGCATGTGTTTGCCTCCAACAAAGAGGAGGGGCGGGGAGTGGTGCTGACTACCCACTGGACATTCCAGCAAGACTCTTAGGTGGACGGTTGATAGCTGGAAGGGCAACTCACCAGGACATCCCGGCAAGACAGATTCACCAAGGGGCAGGGCCGTGGGCAGACCTGAGAGGCTTCCAATTTTAGAGCAAGGAGCTGAGGTAGAAGCAACGAGAGGAGAAAGAGCACTGTGAGAGTGAGGAGTCATGGAGCCACAGGCGTGGAATGGTTCACTTCCTGCTCAGCCTTGCTCAAAGGCTGGTCCTGCTCAGCGCTTGTTGTTCCATTGAGTGAAGTCATATAGTAAAGCCATCTCATTGAAAAGTCATTTAAAAATTTACTGATTTATGGGATTGACTTAATTTTCCATTTGAAAATCCCTGCTTTGTATTACAAACTTTTAAAATTGCTTTCAAAGTAACGGATTAAAAAATTCTGAGTGGGCATGTATCCATGGTTACAGCAGTGATGGTATCAAAGATTTCTGAAGATAGCATTTTTGTCCTAGATTTTTATAGAGTTTCTATTTATTAATCTTCCTTCTGTTTTGCTTCAACCCTTTCTATGATTTGAAATTGTTTGCCAATTTTTTTGTTGTTAGAGTCTCTAGTAACATTATTTAACAATTTTTTAATTTGTAAATTCATTTATTTTACTAATATTTATTGAATACCTAAAATATGTGAAGTACTTGCGACAGTAGGAAATAGAAACTCTCAAATATTACAAGTGAGTGTATGACATAAATAGGCAATTAAAATATAGCATAATATGTTTTAAGAACACATAGGAAGGGCACCTAGCCAAAAAATCAGCATCAGAGGTTTTCAAGAGTAAGTGCCAACTAAATTAGGAGTGGTACAGATGAGTGATAGTGGTGATGAGGAGTAGGGAAGAGCATTTCAAGAGAAGGGAGCAGCATGTGCAAAAACCCTGAGGTGAGATATTGCATGGCTGGTGGGAGACCTGAAAGTCACTTAATAGGACTAGTTTATCACGTGAGAAGAGAGAGATGAGACTAGGAGGAAAACCAGGTCTAAAAGACCTTGCAAGTCATGTTAGGGACATCATGCTAAAGATAATGGGGAATATTTGAGGCTTTTATGAGTGAGTAAGTAGATCAGATAGTCCATTTGGAAAGCACACTGACTTCTCTTGGAGAACAATTTGGCGAGGGGAAATTCACAAGGCAAGAAGATTGGTTAGAAGTTTGTAGCATTATCCAGGTAAGAGTTGGTGATGGCCTGCGCCCAGGAAAAAGGCAATGGGTTTGGAGAGGGTAGACTAATTTGAAAGCCATGGTAGAATCATTAGAACTTGATAATTTATTGCCAGATAAAATGGATAAAGGAGAAAGCTAAGAGAATGACATTGACTGTCTTAGTATGGGTTCCCCCTAAAAGCAAATCTGAGACAAGTACTGGGGTTCAGGAGGTTTATTTTAGAGGCAATCCCAGAAAGTAAGAGTGAGGGAATGGAGAGAGTGTCAGGAAAAGAGAAAAGCCAATTTATGTAAGGAGGAAAGCGAATCATGTGTGCACTGCTGAGCTGTTTATCCCTGGGAAAAATGGGCACAGTCTCCTGGGGGATCCTCTGAGGAACCATGCTGAAGGCTCCTCAGAAGCATCCCTCTGGAATACCGAGCCTGGGACTTTATTCTCGACTCTCATCTCTCTTTGGTTTGTGGTTGACTCCCCGATAACCTCTCTCCTATGGAGAGTTGTGGAACAAGTTCTTAGAACTTTGGAGAAAACCCCATGACAGAAAATCTGAGAGAAATACTTGAGGTGAAACTGGAGCCAGAGGCAGCAAGGGGATGTGGCACAGACGGCCGGGGGCTGCTCCAGGCACCACGCTTCTGGCTCCCGCAGAGTTCTGGCGGAGAGTAAAGAGGGTTTGAATTAAACTGAGGGATGAAGTAAGATTTCATAAATAGCATGCAAATGTATTTTTATAAATAGATAATTTTTATGTTGTTAGATTCAGTATCACTTTTGTCCTTGAAATTTCTTGAATCCATTTTTTTATGAAATCAACACATTGACAAGATGAATTTGGTGGAAATATGAAACAGTATGCATAAAACTATTGTTATTGTGTATAAGCATGGTTGATTAAAATGCTATTATTATATTATATCATTTCCAGAAAATAGCTTGAATCAAATACAGGGTGGTGTTGTATTGTGGAGGCCTGGGGAGGAAGTGTGACAATGGATCCCTGGCAGCTTCAGTTAGCAGAATTTCTCCATCCTTAATGTGCTGCCTTCTCTTGCTAGTGAGCTGCTGTTTACTACTGATAAACAAAGAGGGCAACGAGAAAATGGAAAGACAAGTTTATGGATACACGTGGTTGATTACCGTGAACTATCGCATCATAGACTAATGTGATCATAGCCCCATTCACATTTTAGATAATACATTTAACAGTGCTTCTTATTTGTTTTTTTACTGGGGTCATTGTGCTAAATTTCTGCTGTTCTTCAGAGCATTGAACTGAGCAGTAAATCTTCATTTATTGCATTTGTTTACATATCTCTAATTTCAGATTCCTCATTTGTAAAATGCCTTACTATCCAGGAAGAAGTTATTTTTTCTCACTTAATATAATTAAGATAATAATCTTAAATGTCAATGAAATTATAAGGTGGGGTTGGTGATGGGGGATTTTAGTGGAAATTAAACTGATTTGATAGTCAAAATTTTTATCGCATTTACACTTTATCATTTACCCACTTAGATGTCACAAGAAGGTCCTTTGGTTCTTAAATCACTTAATTTCCAAATCTAAGATAAAAGTTAAAAACCTTTCCCTAATATGTAGGATGAATATGAAGATTAATATCTGCTAATAGCTTTGGACGGTATAACATCAAATAAAGACATAGCAGTCTACCTTGGGGTAAATATTTGTGATAAAGTATGCTTATAAAGCATAAAACCCCTCTTTATTAGTAACCTTTGAACTTTTGAAAAATTATAACAAAATCCTTGCAAAATTTGTAGCACCATAAACAAAGAGTGCTTAAATCTAGGTGGAGATTCTATGTACCACATGCAATTAATAATCTAAAGGCAAACACATTGCATCATTTGACAAAATTTCTTTAAGGACTTGCTGGATGCCAGGGCCTGGAGTGTGGGAGTGAAAAAATATATCAATTCTCTGTCATTTTGGAACTTAGATTCTAGTTCCAAAATAACAGACACTAACTAAATTAAGAAATAAACATCTGATATTATTTGCTTTGAAGAAAAACAAAGTGCAGTCAGGTGCCTTGACGAAATGGTTTCTGAGACGTGGAGAGCGGTGAGGCCCTGACCAGGTGAGTGCCCCAGGGAATGGCGGGGGAGCCAGCGACCAGCGATGCCAGCGATTACAGGTAACTCTTAAAGATATTGTTATAAAAAGGAAGCAAAGGACTAGGGTGATAGCTTAAGACAGATTTAGGGTCAAAGAAAGTTTTAAGACATAATGTTTTCTGCTTGTGGGAATAATCTTGTACGCAGAGTGCCAATGATGCGTCAGTTTTGTAGGGCTGACGTCACAAAGGATCATAAACTGGCTGGTTTAGAACAACAGAAATTTATTGTCTCACAGAGTTCTGGAGGCTAGAAGTCTGAAGTCAAGTTGTTGG